TTTATATTTTATTAAGACTTTTAAAAGGGTAAAACCAAGCATAAATTGTTGCTGGAGGCTGGGTGCCTTTATATGTGAAGGAAGCATGTAATTTACTTCTGTTGTGAAAGAGACTGGGTTATATTTTTAAGGCTGTGTTTCATCATTTGATTAACAACTTCATGTGGTGATTTAGTGATTGAAAACCCATAGGCTTATTATGGAATTATTGCCTACGGGGTTAAGAACTTCAAGTTGCATGTACTTCTTTAATTCAGGTAGTAAAATGTCCTCATTCTATTTCTCTTATAGGTTAGCCTGCAGGTGCAATTTATTTGTGGACATAATGCCCACTGTACCTTCATAGCCTCAAAGCTGCACTCATGAATTCCAGCTCTTTCTCTTAAGTGTCAAGGTCTTTTGACCTCAACTACTATTCAAGAGGATGGTCACACATTGCACTCATTACCCTGATAAAAGTCCTCATTTTTCTTTCCCATGAGAAATGCCACAAAGCCACTTACTGTGGGGAGTGGGGGGAAAAGACTAGGAAACCAAGTTTAGTGCTGCTGGAATCATACAAGGGTCATGTTAATCTCTATGCCTGACTAATTTGAGAAAAGTTAGAAGCAAGACTCCTTAGCTGTGAATATCCCCAAATTTAAGATTCCTTTTTAGGTGGATTGCCCTGGTCTGTAAAGAATAAGTGAGTGGTAAAACATTGGGTCTGTATTGTTAAGACTCCAACCTATAGTGACTACACTGACATTTATGAAATTTCTAAAAGGGATATTAGTTTATAGTTATTCATTTAGTTAATGACTCTGTTTTTATTTTTTGAACTAGCCTAATAAAGACCTCCAGTCCAAAAGCATTCGCTTTTCTTATTACTTGTTTTTGTTTTTACTGTAAGATATTCAAGAATGCCTGAAAAAATGCAATAGTAATCAGAGTGGATTTCTGTGCAATATATCCTTGATTTAAAATATTGATGTCTTTAAGAGAATGAAAAGTCAAGCCACAGACTGGGAGAAAATATTTGCAAAACAATAAGAGACTGGTATCTAAAATATACATAGAACTCTTAAAACTCAGCAATAAGAAAACAATTCAATTAAAAAATGGGCAAAAGACCTGAACAGATACCTCACACAGAAGAGATACAGATGGCAAATAAGCAGATGCAAAGATGCTCAATGTCATATGTCATTAAAGAATTATAAATTAAAACAACAGTGAGATACCACTACATATCTATTTGAATGGCTGAACCCCACATATTGACAATACCAAATGCTAGCATATGAGCAATAGGGACTCATTTGTTGCTGATGAGAATGCAAAATGGTACAGCCACTTTGTAAGACAGTTTGCATTTTCTTTCTTTTTTTTAAAAAATATATTTTATTGATTTTTTACAGAGAGGAAGGGAGAGGGATAGAGAGTTAGAAACATCGATGAGAGAGAAACATCAATTAGCTGCCTCCTGCACACTCCCCACTGGGGATGTGCCCGCAACCAAGGTACCTGCCCTTGACCGGAATCGAACCTGGGACCTTTGAGTCCGCAGGCCGATGCTCTACCCACTGAGCCAAACCGGTTAGGGCAACAGTTTGCATTTTCTAATAAAGCTAATTAAACTCTGAGCATAAGATCCAGCAATCACACTTATTGGTATTTACTCAAATGAGTTAAAAACTTAGTGTCACACAAGAGCCTGCCTATAGATGTTTAAAGCAACTTTATTCACAATTGCCAGAACTTGCAAGCAATACTAGTAAAGATATCCTTCAGTAGTAGGTACATGGATAAGCAGACTGGGGTCTGTCCAGACAATGGAGTATTAACAATAGAAAGAAATGATTATTCAAGCTACAAAAAAACACATGTTTCGCCAGTCTGAAAAGGCTACATACTGTATGATTCCTTGTTCAGACAATGGAGTATTAACAATAGAAAGAAATGATCATTCAAGCTACAAAAAAACACAGAGGCACCTTTAAATGCATGTTTCTCAGTGAAAGAAGCCAGTCTGAAAAGGCTACATACTGTATGATTCCTTGTATGTGGCATTCTGGAAAAGGCAAAACTAGAGAGAAAATAGAATGATCAGAGGTTTGTAGGGAGGGAGGAATAGCAGGAGCATGGGGAAGTTTTAGGGTAGTGAAACTGTTCTGTATCATACTGTTAGAGTAGATAGATGTGATTATACCTTTGTCAAAACCCATAGAACTGTTCAACACAATGAGTGAACCTTAATGTGAACTATAAACTTTAGTTGATAATTTATCAGCGTTCACTCATTAGTTGTTGTAAATACACTACCCTAATATAAGATGTTAATAGAGGAAGCTGTGTAGAGAAGGGTGGGAATGGGTGGAAGAGGGAGTCTATGGGACTCCTCTGTATATTCTGCTCAATTCTTTGCTCTAAAAAATAAAGTATTAATTTAAAAAGTTAATGTATTATGTGAAATGAAATGCATATACTTTATATAGAATCATTTATTTTATTAAAAAACTAGAGGTTCAGTGCACGAATTCATGCACAGGTGGGGTCCAGCAGGCCCGCCCACCCCTGATCGGGCTGATCAGGGCCTGGCGGCCAGGGGGAGGTGCCACGGGTGGTTGGCCAGCCGGCCCCGCCCCTGGTCGAACTCTCGGTCGAACTCCTGGCCAAGGGGACAATTTGCATATTAGCCTTTTATTATATAGGATAAAGTTAACTGTCAATAAAACTACTTTACTAGTATATGTTCTCCAAGTATTAAAATAATTTTACCTTACCTCTGACATTTTTACTCACAATTTGATTGGTTATCTGAGTAGACTTTTCGTTTAACTTCTTAGCTTTTTTTTTGAGGGATTGCAGGGTAGAGGTCAGAGTTAGGACAATGTCTTCTCTTGCTCAAATATTAAAAGAGTGCTATATTGAGTTTAAATTTTTTATTTAAAAGATTAAATGTTTATACATAACTGAATAAGTAAAATTACTGTTTATTGTAAAGTTCAAAGAAAACCTTGGACTTTGTTCAGAAAATTCCTTTTCTTTCCTTCCTGGGCTGCTTTTCCACAGTGTTCTAGAGCTGTCGTTGCCCGATGTGGAAATGCCTGCTTTTAAAATAATAGTGTTACTATTATAAACAGGCTTTGGATTATTTGCTTCCTCCCTAAAAGCACTGTGTGTCGGGCAGATTATTGGCACTTTGAGGTCAAAATCGAATCTGGAAGTCAGGACTTACTATAAATAGAGAAATAGAGAGGAGAAAATGAGAAGAGGTATATATCTGACTGACTATTTAAAAAAAATAAATATCAAGACTTTTAGAACCTAGATGTAATTAAACACATTTCATTACCTCTTCTAGGGGAAATTAAAATACTTCCTAAAAGAAATGATGCTCTGTAATTTAGTTTCTGAACATATTGTAGGTATAAAGAAAGTATATTTTAGAAATTGAATTAATTCATTTAAATGTGTCCCATAATCTAAAATGCTTCCTTTTTATTAAAACAACATGAGAGAGAATAAAAGTCTTTGGGAACTTTACCTCATTTTTCACCATGTGATGATGACTAACACTTCATGTAATATCTAATACTTTATTTCTCTAGCTTGCCAAAAATGAAAGGAATTAGGAAATATGACTGAGGTTATATTATATAAAAATACTTTTTAAGAAATTCTCAAGTGATATTTATATGTACGAAGTATACTCTTTTTTAGGTGCTAAAACTTGGTTTTGAACTTTTATTAAAAATATATTTGCAAACAAATTTAGGATGAAAAATGCTCACTTGAAAACATGTAATAACTTAATATTTGTATCACTGTGCATCTCTGAACATACACAGATGGCATAAAATTAAAAATGAGAATGAAGCAGTAGTGCGTTCATGGAACAAATTCTCACTGTCAGTCCAGAGCTCCTCCTCCCCACATTTGGAGCTGAGACTCTGGGACACTGAAAGTCATAGAGCCTCCTGGCCAAAGCAGTGATACGGAATAAAAAACCATTTAGAACACATTTTAAAAGCACGTTTAAGGAGTAAAGAAAAACAATAAAGAAAAAGATAAAGAAAATCAATTTTGCATTTTCCCCACTCTAAGTGAACGATATTGCATTATAGCATTTAATGAAGATATCAAATCAAGTACAAAACCAAGTGAAACGTTGCACACATCTCTCTTGCTGAAAACAGGCTCGTTGAGGGCCCCTGTGCATTCAGGGAACGCTCTCAAACACAGCTTTTAAAAGGCCCATTGTTCGTTGCTCTGTTGATGCAGATCTTAACATTTTAGACACCTGAAAACCCAGGGCACAGGGTACTTTGAATAAGGTGAAGAAAACCAAAGACAGGTAAGAAAGACGCACACGCTCAGCAGCAAATGTGCAGCAAGAGTGCAGGTCACACATCCCTGCGATTCCTTGTCTTCGCTCACGTGGACTGGGCTTGTTCGTGCCTGTGCCCCCTCTTCCCTCTGCTTCTGCATTTGCCCAGTTACGGTATGATGGCTGATTGTTTTTTTTTAAGCAGTTGGGCACCTTTAATTTCATGTTGCAGTATTAGTAATACAATGGCAATTACGGTCTCTACGACCAAAATGAGAAAATTTCAAACTACATTCTTTGAGGAGCAGAATAATAGAGCTGCATTGTTTAAAAATATTTACCCAGTAGAGGATTTGATGGGGTGTATAATTTTTACAGGAAAACAGTCAGAAAAAGAACAAATGCTTGCCAGGTAAAATCGGGTCAGACGTAGCCTATACTAAGCCTGTGCATCCTTGGGCAGAGAAGGACCCAGGTCGGCTTAGGCTCCGTGATGTGGCCCAAAAGCCTTAGGAGGAAAGCTGTGGACATTCACATGCGGGCAGCATGAAATGCTCCTGACACTGACAGCCATTTGCAAACTTAGGGCTCAAAGTCACACCTTACAAATCTCAGGAGAGATGCCCAGTGATACAAAGTGTACTCTTAATTGGAACTGGTTTCCTGATGTTCTGTGGTTCATTTCCAGGTCCTTCAGCAGCTTTTAAATCACTGCAGGAAAAACAAAGATAAAGTTCTTCTTTTCTCCTTCTCCACCAAGGTGAGTTTGGTCTGCAGTGCGTTCCTGAATGGCCCAGCCTTAACTCCTGAAGCAGAAAGCCTCAAATACACACTGGCATCCAGCCATCTTTTCTGTCTTATACATACTGTAGGAAATGGTAGAGAGGGAGGAGACATAAATCTCAATTACATCAGGGATACTGTCATGTGGCAAACTCAAAAATAGATTTTTAATTTTCTGTTGATGTTTTTGTTGATAATTAAAATGTTCTTTAAAACATTTAAGAGATTTTAAAATGTAGAAAATAGCATAAATAAATGAAGTATATTTACATAAATGATTTGGCCAATAGTTTTCTTTTTAATTGGTTTTACTTTTAAAAATTCAAGATTGATTTTTTTTCTTAAAAGATTGATTTTTTTTTTTTAAAGGAAGGTTGTTAAGGTTAAAGTCAGTTTCAGGATAATGAAATATATGGGTCAGAAGTCAGAAAACTGTCTGTTGCTCTAATTATAAGAAAGAAATTGTGAGCAGTCATAATTAATACTTAGTCAATTTTCTCTCTGTATGGTATGAAGCTTATTGAACCATGAATTCACCTTTGCCCGTCTTTCTACCTTCCCTCTAGCTGCTTGATGTGCTGCAGCAATACTGTATGGCATCTGGGCTTGATTACCGACGACTCGATGGCAGTACAAAATCAGAAGAAAGAATCAAGATCGTGAAAGAGTTCAACAGTACTCAAGATGTCAACATTTGCCTTGTCTCCACAATGTAAGAAAATAAAATTTGATAACTTGATTTTTATCTAATTGCTTTTAAGATTTAGGGTAATTTTAAAACTATGACTGATTTTTAGTGGTTAGGCTTATTTTGCTTTGTTTTATTTGACTTTAAGGAGAAGCAGCAAAAATGCTATTAATTATGAGGGACTATTGATTTCTTGAATTTTACCTAACCTGTTCTCTCAATTCCTTTATCATCACTGAATTCTCCTTTCTATGTCTGCATATGTAAAGATAATACTCCAAAAAATAGATTTTTAAAGGAATTTTCTGCAGTAGTGCTTTGTCTCATGTCCATGGTCAGAATGAAACTTAATTAAATAATGGAGTTATCAAATAACAGAAAATCATTTGTAGCAATGGTTTGCAAACTGTGCTCAAGGAGCCTTAGGGAGCTCACAGGGCCATGGGCCAGGCTTTTCCCTACTTTGTCCGTACCTACAATCAACCAGAGCAACTCCCATTCTAGGTTTTATTAAAGTTAAAGCAGGTCTAACACCTGCTTACAAATCTCTAATGAAAACCTTTTCAAGAATATACACACTTAAGAGGAAGAGTAAAGGCAATATAAACTTACCTAAGTAAAATTCATCTTTTGGTGGGTAACAAATCCGTAACTATTGGCATCTATTGTAGTATTTTACAGATTTACTCCCATTGTCTTTCAGAAAGAATTTCAAGGGGTTTTAAAACTAAATTTATATAAAATGTAAAAAGTAAAAAATTACTTAAATGATGAAGAAAATTATATGTATGATGAGTGAGCTACTTACTGTTGAGGACTAAAATAATTCTTGAATTCTTGCAACTAAGGCAAAAGGAGATAAGCTCTGGACTCCCAATTTCCTGTAAATGAATTCAAGTTATAATTTCTCACCCGAGTTCTTTCAAAGCAATAAATGACATAGAATACTGTCTTCAGTTAATTTAAATTAAAAAATGCATATTAATTTATAAGTAACGTTTTTCAAAGTAATAAATGCTTTCAACAGTTCAAATAGTACAGAGCTATTTGTAAACAGTCATCTCTCAGTCAGCTCACCCTCAATCTAATTTGATGTCATCTGCCATAAACTCCTAATTATCTCTTCAACTGTATTAGAAATTGCTATTTAATCCATCCATTGAATTTTTAAAGACTGTACTTTTTATGTTTAGTTCTATTTGATATTTTTCAAATCTGCCTGATTATTTTTACTCATATTTTGTTCTTTATGGTTTCTAGCCTTTCTTTTAATTCTTTAGTAATTTTAATCTTTTTTGAAAAAATTCCTTTTGAATGGCATTTTTGCTCTGTTAACTCCTGTACTTGGAGGTGCTAATCCTTCTATTTGATGTTTCCTCTGGCTCTTGCTTATGGTAGATGGCATCTTCACAAATTTTCAAATTTTTTATTTTGAGCTTATCATCAGTGGGTCTTTTTCCTCCTTGGAAATCCTTTGGTTGGAGTTTTCCACTGCTGTGGTTTTGCTTTGACTTCTGCTTGGCATCCCAACTAAGGGAAGGGAAGAGTTTTAGATTCCTGTTTTCCTGTGACTGAATTCAAGGAGTAATTCGTTGCATAAGTCTTTACACAGTAAAGAATCTTACATAACATAATAAATACATTCTTCAGCTGTGTTTTGCAAAAGACATAAATAAGCTCAGTTTTTTTTTTTTTGTTTTTCTCATTTTGCAATAGTTTATATTTAATTTCTAGATGTATAGCAGAATTATCACATTAGCTTATTCCATTATTTTGCCAGAATACTAAGTCTTCATTTTCTTTTCATTTATCAACATTACACAGCTTGGATTCTGTTAGGAAAGAGGAGGACTTGGTCTGCTTATGCTACTCTCTCCCCACCTTTAACAAAGTCCTTATTATTTTGATTATCCTATATAATAAAAGCCTAATATGCTAAGTATCCTGTTGGCCATTCAACCAATCAAAGCGTAATATGCTAATGATAATGCTAAGGCCGCTCAACCACTCGCTATGATGTGCACTAACCACCAGAGGGCAGACAGTTGACCGGTCGACCAGTCGCTATGACGTGCACTGACCACCAGGGGGCAGACGCTCCAATCGATAGGTTAGCTTGCTGCTGGGGTCCGGCTGATTGGGACTGAGTGGGACGGGCTGGACACGCCCTGGAGCCCTCCTGCAGTTCCTCCCCGGCTGGCCAACCTCTGCATCCCTCCCTGGCCCCACGCAGGAGCTGCCCCCTGGTGGTCAGTGCACTCCCATAGGGGGAGCGCCTCTTAGCCAGAAGCCAGGCTCACAGCTGGTGAGCGCAGCAAGCACAGCAGCGGTGGCGGGAGCCTCTCCCACCTCGGCTGCAGGCAGGCAGTAGGGAGTGAGGGGTTCTGGACTTCTAGAGCCCCAGACTGCAAGAGGGATGTCTGACTGCTGGCTTAGGCCCGATCCCGGTGGCGGGGGGGTGGCGGGGATCGGGCCTAAACCGGCAGGTGGACATCCCCTGAGGGGTCCTGGACTGCGAGAGAGCACAGGCCAGGCTGAGGGACCTCCCCACCTCCAGTGCACAATTTTCGTGCACCAGGCCTCTAGTATGTCTATAAATACTTTAGTAACTTTAAATAATGTTCCTTAATTTTTAACGTTTTAGTCCATCTACTTCCTACAGTATCTTCTAAATGTTTGTAATGGGTGGTATTAGCATTAGCACGCATCTACCATTTCTTCTACTTTTGTCACCTATTCATATTATCTGTCAACTATTTTAACTGTTAACCTCATCAGAGATATTAGAAATTTTCAGAGCCCTGCAAAAATAACTAAGTCTTTCATGCTCTACCCATAGATTGCCTCTAAAATTTAGAAGCTAAAAAATAGCATTTTCATTATTATGATTTTGTAAACATTGTTTAATGCTGGACCACAGAGTGCTAAGGTAATTTCTCTGAATGTTTGTGACCTCTTGGCCAGTTCAAGGAGAACAGTCTTAACATCATCCTCAAATGAGTTCTCTCTTCTAACACTTCCATCATCATCTTATGTTTACACAGTTCAGTTTACTTCATATTTTAATCCTAATTTTCTTAATGCTTTACCTTCCGTATATTTTTGCCTTTTATAGTAATAATAGTCTTCAATATATTACTAATTCACCATCACACTTTCTCTTCTGTTGACTCCTCTGTATCCTGAAGAACTTGCTCCTGACGTCTTTTGTACTCTGGTTTTAATCTGGACTGATTGTTCTCTAGTCCTGATAAAGAACTGTTATCTTGAAGTTTTCTTTCACTGCTTTTTTGCATGGATCCACTTTTCCTGAATTTTATGCCATTTTCATTCTTGGTTTGCCTCCTTGTTTCACTGGAGAATATCTTCAATTAATTTTGTAAGTCAGGATTATAGAAAATAAATTTTCTGCATCTTTGAATATCTGAAAATGCCTTTTATGTGCCCTCTCACTTAATTGCTGCTTTGGCCAACTAAGTTCTAAATTGAAAATAATTTCCTGACTGGTTATGGAAGGTTATTAAAGCACTGTTTTCAGGTATTTAATGTTGCTTAATAGATGTCTAAGGCCAATCTGACTCTCATTCTTTTTTGGTAACTCACAAGAGTTCCTTTTCATCTGTGGTATTCTGAAATTTTATAGTGATATTTGAGTCTTGGTGTGGATCTTTGTTCATTTCTTGTGCTGGCACAATCTGAAGGCTTGTTTTCTTTTTCAACTCTGGAAAATTCTCTTGGATTATTTCTTTGTCGATGGCATCTCTTTTATTTTTCCAGTATCTCTCTTCCTCTCGCATTCCAGGTCATCAGATCTTAGAGCTCCCATATGGATTATTTAAATCTCTGAACTTTTCATTCATGTTCCATTTTGTTATCTTTTTGCTCTATATTCTGAGAAATGTCATTTTCCAATCTATTTTTTAAATCTGATTATTTTACTTGAAATAATTTTTCAACTAAAAATTTTCTTGCTTTCCAAGCTCTTTTGTTCTCTAAATTATCTTTATTCTGGAATATCAGTACCTCAAAGCCTAGTTTTTTATAATCATCTCATTCAGTTAATTAGAGAAGGGTCATCTGGCAATTTCCCTTGGGTTAGAATTTTTTTTGGAATCACTGAATTTATAAATTACTTTAAAAAATTGGCATTTTTATGATATTGAGCCTTCCTATCCATGAACATAGTATCTCTACATTTATTTAGATTTTCACATAAATATTATTCAAGTGAATATTTCATTTCACCCTTTATAATAGTTAACACCTAACAATAAAACTTAATTCACTGAAGGCATTTTTATGGAATATTAACATATAGTTAAAGTATAATTTTTTATATACTTATTTGATGTGAAAATAGAAAGATCTAAGGCATGATTAGCCTTCATGCTCATTATGGGTCTGTATTAATACCAGTCCTCAGCTTGAAAAGGTCTATATTTTGTTTTTTTGCTTAAGGAGTAGACCTTTGCTTTTAGTCATATAACAACAGAGTTACAGATTTTAAAGTTTAGGATTCTGAGTTGCATTATCATGAAACAGAATCATCTCATCTCCAGACATAGAGTTTAGAGATTTTTTTTAGGTGAAGGAGCTTTGCCTCTGCTGTAACCCAGCCAGCCTTCAGTTACACCTACAGAATCTCTTGGGAGATTGCTACCTCAACTGGTAGAGGCCTTCCTGCGGCTTATATAGGGCATCTGAGATAAATTCATGTCAAACCTTACTTTCAAGAAACTAACTGAAACAGTTGGTTGCATTTATTGTTGGTGTTGTTCATTTAAATGTTAGAAAATATTTCTTAATTTAAATTTTTATTTTGGATGTATCTTGTTGATTTTTCTTATAATTATCTAGTTATATAATCTTATGAACCTTGTTTCTTCACTTTTTTCCATCACAATACTAGATAAACTTTTAACTTCTGTTCTGCTTATTTTGTGTCTAAGTCCCACCCACTCCACTAATTTACCCATTTTTAAATTCTTTCCAAAACTTTCTCACTGTCCCAACTCACTCTTTTCTTTGAGTTCAAGAAAATCTGTGATATCTGTATGCTATCACCTCTATAAGTAATTTTCCAAAGGATACAATTCATTTTCTATTGGACACATAACTTTAAAAAGTCAGGATACTTTGGGTTTGTCAGGCAATTTTTAGGTGCCCGTAATTATTCCAATCCCATGAACCACAGTTTGAAAGACTTTTGAGAAAAGTAATTTCGTATTTCTCTTAACCTCATTCCAGAAAACTATATCTCAACTTCCTCAGAAATATGATGGTATTTTTTTTGTTAAATGTTCAAAAAGAAAGAGATTCTAAACCACTACTCCAATAAGTCATTAGAATCATATAACTACTAGAGGCCAGTGCGTCACAGGTAGGGTCCCTAGGCCTGGCTGGCGATCAGGGCTGATCTGTGGGGCAACTGGCGGGGTGATCGGAGCCCCCGTTTGCACCCACCTTGGCTGACTTGGCGCTTCCCACTCGCCAGCCCCCCGCCGCTGCCGCCTGTTGGGGCCTGCAGGCTGGGGGCAGCTCCTGTGTTGAGCATCTGCCCCCTGGTGGTCAGTGCATGTCATAGTGACCAGTCATTCCACCATTTGGTCAATTTGAATATTAGGGTTTTATATAAATAGATGCAAAAAACTGCTTCTAATTTGTATTTTGTTATGTTGTCTAACTATTCTCATACCCCTTTGTTCAATTCAGTTGTCTTCATTGATCCTTACTTAATGTAGGATAAGAAAAATGACAGATTTTTTTTTTTTTTTTTGCCTCTACAGAGCATTATGAGCAATAAATGCTTTACTGGAGTTATGTGTAAAGTTCCATGAGCATTTAAAGAATAGGCATGTCAAGAAAGAGCATAAAAGGATGGTGATGTTTAAACTGGCCTCTTATAGATAAGATTTCATTAGAAGGGAAAGCAGGTTTAAATAAAGGGCATTTCAGGCGGAGATAATAGCATTAGTACAAAAATGACCAGGGAATTTAAATGGTTAGAGCTTAGGATACATGGAGGGAAGACCTGAGTATGTGACTAAATAGGAGGAATTATTAGTTAATTTAACTGAGTGTTCTGTGACAGGTCCTGGAGGAGAAAAGATGTAAAAGGTTCTGACTCAGCTCTTTTAAAGTTTAAAAAAATATGAAGATAGAGAGAATAGTTAAGAAATATGTGAAAGGGTGGTTTCAATATAGTATGCTAAATGCCAATCAGAGGAAGCACAAAGGAGAAATATTTAGTTCATCCTTCCTTAGCAATGCTGAAGGACAAGTAGAAGTTAGCCAGGCAAAGAAGAAAGCAAAGAAAATCACAAGTAGGGTATGGAGACAACTTTAAATATAGTGGTAGTTCTGGGAGATAAAGTCTAAGAATACAAGAGTTGGTCTCTGGTGGATAAGAATTGGGGGGTTAAAACAGAGGAGTGGCATACCTAGCTTTTTATATTCTGTGCTTAAAGTAATTTTATGTAATAATGAGGATGGATTTAAGATCTGAGGTAAGGGAAGACAGTTAAGAAGCCAATGAAATAATACTTACAGGTGACATATAGTAAGGGCTTGAAATAGGGCAGGGAAAATAGAAATGTAGAAGGAACTAGAGAAATACATTTTTTGACCTAATTTGACAAGATTTGATATTGGATGGTTTTTCAGTTTTTGTGGAGTTTTTATTTTTCCTCCTTTGAGTCTGTCGTTGACAAATTCTCTTAGTTTTCATCTTAATTAAAGAATGCCATGATTTCCCTTTCATTCCTGAAGGATATTTTGCTGGATATAGAATTCTGGATTGACAGTTTTTAAACATTTGAAAAATGTTGTCCAGCTACCTCTGACCTCCATGGTTTCTAATGAGAAATCCACTGTCTTTTGAGTCGGTTTTCCCTAAAAGTAGTGTATCATTTGAGTCGGTTTTCCCTAAAAGTAGTGTATCATTTCTCTCTTATTGCTTTCAAGAGTTTTTCTTTGTTTTTTTGTTTTCAGAAGTTTATGATGTTTCTTGACATGGATTTCTTGGGGTTTATCCATTTTAGAGTTCTGTATAACTTCTTGAATCTAGGTTTATGGCTTTTCCCAAATTTGGGAAGTTTTTAACCATATGTCTTCAAATACTTTTTATTCTGGGACTATAATAACATGAGTGTTATTGTCCCTCAGATCTCTAAGACTATGTTCATTTTCTTTCAGTGTATTTCCTTTCTGTTGTTCATATGGGGTAAATAACATTGACCTGTTCTCGTGTTTCTGACTCTGTTCTCTGTTATCTCCACTGTACTGTCAGGTCCATTCCATCAAATTTTGTAATTCAGTTATTTTTCAGTTCTAAAATTTTCACTTGGTTTTTCTTTATATCCTTTCTTTCTTTGCTAAGACTTTCTATTTTTACTTTTTTCAAGCATATTTGTAATTTCTTATCAAAGCATTTTTATTATGATTGCATTGAAATTCTTGTTAGATCATTCCAACATCTGATTCATTGTTGTCATCTGTTGTTTGTCTCCTTTTCACATTGAGATTGTCTAGGATCTTGGTATAACCAGTAATTTTTTATTATATGCTGGGCATTCTTTGTATTATGTTCTAAAACTATATATGATATTTAAATCTGTTTTACCCAGATACCATACCAGCCACATAGGGATGGAAATCCATGTTTTCTACTTGGCCTCTGTTGACATCCTGAGAGTGAGGTGGCTCATTAATATTTTCTAGTTGACCCCCACTGATACTTCAGAGGGAGGCCTGGTTAAGAAGAAATGAAAGTCCCAGCTTCTTAATCAGTCTTCTCTGATACCACCCCTCAGGGGGCTAAAGGTGCTTCATTACATTCAAGCAAGCGTGGAAGTTTAGTCTCCTCACTTAGCCTTTCCTGGCCAGGTTGAGGGTGGGGCCACAGATTTTTCCCCAGGGTGTTTACAGGAATAGGCTGGTTATTGTCTAACATATTTCTGTCTTAAAGGGATACATCTTTCCTGGTTCTTTAGCTAAAGGAAGAAGGATTTACTTGGGGCCTTTTTGGTCTGTGACTGTTGGCATTTCCAGTTCACTAGCTTCTCCAGAACCCAGTCTGGGATATATTAGGCAGGAAAAAAAACCACACACAGGAAACTCACTGTCATGTCATTCCTCATGTTTTGTAGTTCCTAGGCAGCCTGTGCTCTCTCTGCTCTTCACTGTCTTGTTTATTTTATATGTAATATCCAGGGTTTGCACACCGTGGGAAGAAAAAGACAAAGTATATCTACTCCTGGCTTGATTTTTAAAAATGTGTATATTACTTAGCTGCAATATACTAATAGTTTTTTAAAGTTATGTTAGGAAAACCTTACAGAAATAATATTCAACTATAAACAGCATAGTCTACTTACATGGACTGTAATGGTCAAATTTTTTTAGGGATATTCTAGAGTGGTAGAAAAATAATATTTCATAGCTATTTCATTTGTGGAATATTTGTGTTTTAATCACCTTTTATGATGTGAGTGTAATACTGTGTTGATTTGTTGTAGAAATCTGGCACAGTTGAGTAATAGAACAACAATTATTATTTTGCTGTTTTAATATGTTCTTTCTGTTTCCTCCAGGGCTGGTGGACTAGGCCTCAATTTTGTTGGTGCCAATGTTGTTGTATTATTTGATCCTACATGGAATCCAGCCAATGATCTTCAGGCCATTGACAGGTATAATACTGACAAAATGTAAACTGACCTAAAAATACTTTTAACCTAACCTCTTTTCTGAATTGTTTAGGTTGCTTATCATATGACTGTGATTAGAAGATAGGGAAAACCTTGTTTTTAAAAAACTTCTATTTAAGATAACCATGGATTTCTGAATCCAACTGGCAGGCTGATAGCTATTTATTTTCCATTCATCTCAAAGTCCCATTATCATGTCAGAATTGATTTAAGAAGAAAGAATACGTCCACAGTACTTCAGGAAAATAGGAGCGGTCACTGCTAGTAGATTAGAAGTTTTGAGAAACTCCTGAAATAGAGAATGAAAACAGAATCTGTGTGATCAAGAAACCAGCAGAGTAAAACCACAGTCCAAAGTTGACAGAGAGCACAGAGGAAAAAAATGAATATTTTAGAACATAAATAATGACCTGGACAGGAGAGAAAACATACATAGCTACATCTTCGTGATATTTATGCGTTCCAAAGATAAAGAGAAATGCCAAAAGATGCCAGAGTGAGAAAGAAGGAGATAAAATTATTTATAAAAATAAAGACAAAAATATGAAATAGTTTATCAATAAAGACATTTATGTTAATGGGTATATGATACAATAGAGCAATAATTTGTGACATCCTATATAATAAAAGGCTGATATGCAAATCGACCAAATGGTGGAACTACCAATCACTATGACACACACTGACCACCAGGGGGCAGACGCTCAACACAGGAGCTGCCCCCTGGTGGCCAGTGCACTCCCACAGAGGGAGCGCCGCTCAGCCAGAAGATGGGCTTACAGCTGGTGAAGTGCAGCGGCAGTGGCGGGAGCCTCTCCTGCCTCCGCACTCAGTTGGGCTTACAGCTGGTGAAGTGCAGCAGCAGTGGCGAGAGCCTCTCCTGCCTCCGCTGCAGGTGGGCAGTAAGGAGTAAGGGGTCCCAGACTGCTATAGGGATGTCTCACTGCCAGCTATCCCCTGAGGGGTCCTGGACTGAGAGAGAGCACAGACCAGGCTGAGGGACTGCCCCCCCCCCAGTGCACAAATTTCATGCACCGGTCCTCTAGTATGTACTCTAACATTCTATCCCATTCACCGAACAATTGGATAATAATTAGATGGCCGTACACCCAAAAGACTTTCCTTAAATCCATTTAAAAAAATTTTAGACCCCAGATCCATGGTGGGAGAGAAAGGGATTGTGAGCCTCTCTGTGTCTAGGCTGCAGGATGGAAGTGGCACTTCAATCACCTACCATTCTCTGAGCTGTGTCACAGGAGCCCCCATTCCCCTGTGGAGGTATAAGATTTTTGGAACCCCATGATACCCTCTTGTAAAGCCTTTCTCTGTGAGGACGAGGGGGTGAAGGAGGCACAAGGAGCACCAACTAGAACAACACAGAGTAACTTTACAAGGTCAAAATCATATACTCCCCAATTGTAACATTTTCAAACATGAGAAAGTCTGGCCTGGCCCATGACCCCCCA